TTGCAGTTTGAGATTGAAATGGAATCCTTCTGGGTGTGTCTGTGGAAGTCAGGAAATCAACGTGCCCTCGCCAAAAAGACATGCTGATCCCTAACCCCAATACTTGTGAAAGTGACCCTGTTTGAAAATAGCGTCTTTTAAGATATTATCAGTTAGGTTAACTTAAAGTCATATAAAAATAGAATTAATCCTAATTCTATATGATTTGTGTCCTTATAAAAGAGAAGATACATAGAAACACAGAAACATGAACCTCAGAAGTTATCAACACAGCCAGCAATCTTGACTTGTAAGTTACCCATTTTGTCATAGTTTATTACAACAATCCCAGAAAACCAAATGCATAAGCGTATTAATCGACCACATCAAGCTGCCCAGCTAGCTCAGAGCATAAGACTGATAAAAGACCACGTCAGCTTGTGAGGGGACTTTTGAGTAGAACTCATCTCATGAAAAGAGGGTGAGTCAATCATCTGAAGGAACTCTACATGTGGCACAATATCACTAATCAGCTTTGTCCTCTGCTCAGTTCCCCATTGATTCACATTTGCATCCCAGAGAAAGAAGAGAGAGATGAATGAATAATGAAAAACAGGGTTTTCTTAACAATGTTCTACTGTGGGAATGAAAGCCAATACAACAAACAATGATAGAACTATCTGTACTAGAACCAAGAAACAGACCAGTGATTCTTCAAGGAAAGCATGGTGAACCTTTGTCTTAGTACTTTGGGCATCTTGTCAGAGGCACTAATCCTTGGAATAAAGATATCATGCTGAGAAATGTCAGGAAAAGAAAGGGAAACCCTCAGTGAGATAGATTGACCCAGTGACTACAGCAAAGACTTGAGAATAATAGAGATTATGACAATAGCACAGTATTGGGCAAGGTTCAAGTCTGTTCACAAGGTGGTTTTATTTTATTTTATTATTTTTTGTGCATGTACCATCAAATCAGATCTGACTGGTAGAGAAGAAGATTGTTCCTCCTTCTACAGCAGAGCATCTGGTGGATTCGAACTGGGTTCCTCTGGGATTGCAGTGCAGCTTCTCGTCACTAGGCCACAAGAGCTCCCCACAGGGTGGCTTTGAGTCGTATTCAACTTGATGACATCTAACAACAACCCAGAAAGGTAGAGGTGTTTTCTCTCTGTGTGGCACTGATTGTCTATGATAAGAGAGAGAAGTGACCTCAGGAACTTCTTCATACTAATTTTGTTGTTGTTCGGTGCCATTGAGTGAGCTCTCATTCATAGTGTCCTTCTGTAGAACAGAAGGAAATCCTGTCTGATCACGTGCCACCCTCACAACCTTTGCTGTGCTTAGGCTCATTGTTGAGGTCCCTAAGTTGATCCATCTCACTAAGGGTCTTCCTCTCTTTCACTGACCCTTGACTTTTTCCATGTCCCCACTGGTAATATGCCACAAAAGTGAGAGAACTAAGTACAGAACTTGTTTGATAAAGCAGAGAGGGGAGGAGGGGGAAGATGTCATATCATATCTAACCTACTGATAAGTTGTTACTACATACTGTCAAGTCAGAACTGACTCATAGCTGTGAGTTTTCAGAGGCAGTAAATTGCACAAGAGGAGACTGCCCATCTTTCTCCATGAAGCAGCTGGTAGATTCAAAGTATCTGCCTTTGGATTGGCAATACAACTCATCATCAAACTATCAGAGCTCTTTTCTTTAATAAATAAGTGTCTAAGTAGCAGAAGATAAAGGAATGCAGCCTTCAGTATGGATTGATTCTCAATATCAAGGAAAAAAAAGATTCTTACTACTGGACCAATAGGCCATGTCATGATGGATGGAGAGGACATCGAAACTGTCAACAGCTTCATCTTTCTTGGATCCACAATTAACACCCTTGGTACCAGCAGTCAGGAAATAAAGAGATACATTGCAATTGGAAAATCTTCAGTTAGGGACCTTTCCAAATGATTGAGGAGTGGTGATATCAGCTTGAGGACTAAGGTACATCTGATTCAGGCCATGGTCTTTCTAATTACTAGCTATGTATCTGAGACCTGGTCAAAGAATAAGGATGACAGGAAAAGAATTGATGCTTTCAGCTATGGTTTTGGAGAAGAGCACTGAACTTTCCACGGATGGCCAAGAAAACAAATAGATATGTCTTGGAGATGGTGCAGGCAGGGTGCTCTTTGGAGGCAAGGATGATGAGACTTTGCCTCACATACTTTGGACATCTTCCCAGGAGGTGCTATTCCTTGGAGAAGGACATGATGTTGGGTAGAGTGGAGGTTTGGTGAAGGAGAGGAAGACCCTCAACCAGGCTGATTGTCAAAGTGTCTGCTGTAATGTGCTCTTGTATGTCAGGAAGTGTGAGGATGGTACAGGGTAGGACTGGTTTCAGATATTTTGTTCATAGGGCCACTATGAGTTATAGTTGACTCAATGGCACTGAACAACAACAAGTAGCAAAAAAAGGGCTCTAGGGGAAAAAGGCCATGAGCATCTCTCTAAAAAACGCAAAAGGGTGTGAGAACAGCACAACTTCTCATCGCCTCAGAGCAGAAAACAGATAAAGAACCTATAGCCCGGCCCCATGGTGCCTGTAGAGCCACAGAAGCAGCAAGAGGTTCTTTTATTTCTTATTGACTCACAGACACAGTACCAACAATGGGGTTTATCAGGGAAGGAGGTTGGAGAGTGGGGGAGGCAAAGAATAATACACAATGCAAACCCAAGTTTTAGCCAAGTAGTCCCAAGGCCCAATTCCTCGATGAGTTCAGGCTCCTGTTTCAGTTCAGTGGTCAAATCCAAACCACACAGCAAAGTTTGGCTCCAATCCAGCAAGAACAGCTAAACCTTTAACTGTGGCCAGCACAAATGAAAGAAACCTCAGGTCACACTGTCACTATTTCTCCACAGCAATACCATAGATTCTCCACCACCAAGGTCTCACTATCACCAGGGTCTTGCCACCACAAGCCTTTCTTGCCTCAAGTCTTGCTCACCTAAAATCTTGCTGCTTAGTGTGGGAAGCACTCTTCTACTTGTCCTGGTCCCACAGCTATTAGTCACATTTGCAAGACAAGGCTGATTTGCAGGACCATGTATCTGCAGTTAAGGTAGCTGGAGACCAGAGGTGACTAACTAACGGCTATAAAATGCCAACTTTTAGGTTAACACTACAGTAAGTACATAAAAAATGCTTAGACATACTTGCATAAGTATGTCTTATGCATTCACATCATTAGTAGGTAGGTAAGTAAGAGTCAGAGAAACCTGTTTGCATTATCATCCTTCCCCAGCTTTGAAAGAGTGATGACAGGATGAGTTCTTTATACTCCACTTGCCCATTTGCAGCATTTCCCTCCATGATTATATGTTATAAGTAGACAGTCAATCTATCCCAAAGCTCACATATTTGTCATGTCTGTTCAAGCTCTCCAGAATCCAGATAGACAGCCTCTTTGGGAATCTTAGAGAAAATGAATTCTGTGAAATAGACTAGCGTTGTTGTTTGAAGATGATAAACATGAGAACTTTTAAATACAAGCACTCTTCATAAAAGCAGTCATTTAACAAAAGCAATTAAAAGGACCGAATATCTGAAAGCCATCTGTCCTAGTACATATATTAAGAGCTTTATTTAAAGTAGTACTTCAACAATAATGCTAACATCTTTTCTACTCAGTAAAAGAAATAATGTTCCTTCTCCAAATATTCCTTCTGAAAAGATTTGCTTTCTTCTGAGCGTTTTAAATGGCTCCACACAGCCCTGTCACATTGAAGAAGACAAAATGGCACTTTGTGCTACAGGTCTAATCTTACCCAAATTCAATCATTTTCCTACTATTGCATTAATCTTTGACTTTGGCTGTATTCCATTTTCTTCTCAAAAGTCTTGTGATGTCTCTAATTCCAGATAATGATGAAATTAGACTCAGTCTTACTGTCAGTGTTGGATGGCTTAATAAGCCAGGTAAGCACAGGCCTGTTTACTGATCTGTAGTAAGCAATTTTTCACCACATCAGAGATTTCACTTCTAGACATGGATGATATCTCTTATCCTCGCAGCACTTTCCTGCAGAAACCAAGTCTTTTTTTCAAATTTAAAATCCCCATTGTGGTCAGGGTACTAAGTGAGCAAAGTAACCACAGGGTCACATTTGTTTAGTCACACTAATCTGTGGAAAAGTTTTACGTGTTTTCCATCATACTGGTATGCTCACCCAGCTTACTGGGTATTACAACCCTTACTGCAAGCATTGCCCCAAATGCATGGACAGAAAGGAAAGACTCAGCGGGGCTGTCCATACTCTCACATTCTTAGCACAGAGGACTAGTGGTTGAAGTTCTTTAGTGGGGTTGGCTCTGTCTGCGCTCTCACCAACAGTGGACAAAGAGATCTAGAAGATGAGTTTATTCAGATAAAGTTCTCAATAGATTCCTTTGGAAAATCTAACACTGTTTTGTGTAGTATTATTATAAGGTGGTAAGTTTAAAACAAATTCACCAATAATTACAATGATACAAAAATATACACATATCTCTGAAGAAGAACAGGTTTTTGAAGTCCACCATCTGCATGTACACAAAGTCACTTGCTGAAAACATCAGAGGTTGTATCACCAAGGGCCAAGTTCAGGTATTCACTTGTATTCAGGCAACCTCTTAATTTCTCAATCTGTATTTTTTTGTGTGTCTACTGCTTCCCTCTACTCTCCACTACATCATTGATATGTCTATGCTTAGGAAGTGTGAAGACATAAGCATTTGCTCCGAGGAGTATAAAGGGTATGCCTCTCCAAGAGAAGACACACCTTGGTAAGCTACTTACCAACTTCTGAAACTGTCTTGCCATCAACAGCTTTGCTCTTTCTACTAAGAAGACAGCACAATCATTGAGAGCAAGGACTCATATTCAACTCAAAGGAACCCAAGTTACTCTTTATGGAGTTAAGAAGTCCAGGTTTGTGAGGACGAGCATATACGTGCCAAAGCGTGAGAGAAAGAGAAAAAGGTTTACCTGCCAATGAGTAAGAACTCGCCCACCACGCCCAGGCGCCGCATGGCACTCAGGAGCCCTCGGACCGTCATGCCTTCACAGAAGCAGACCACCACTCTGGCCTTGGGGAGCCGCTCTCTGAGCTTGCGCAGGAGACGATCAAAGCTCTTCTCGCCAGCATTGCTGTAGATTTTGTCTGAATGGGCGATGCAGAGGCCTTCCTGGGCAGCCAGCTCTTTGAAAGCGTCCATGCCACTCTCTCCATAATTCCCTGTCCAGAAACAATCAGCAGATGTTCAAGACAACCATGGCAGAAATAGCAACTGAACACTGGGACAAGGATTTTGCTGGTCACAGGGAGTGGAGGAGATAGGCTTGCCAGATAATTTATACAGATCATTGAGACTGCAGGAAGATGAAAAAGGGGAGGAAGCTGGTCTTCCTATCTGGATGGGCCAAAGAGAAAAATCACATAAAACCCAGTGATCAACCAACTCTGAGAAAATGGTGAGAAACTACTAGAGCTTGTCATCCACAGAGAAATAAGTCGGTCCTGTTTTACAACGAGGATGAATAGTGGTTGTCCCAGTTTAACAATGTGTGAGAGATGAGTGCAAGAAGGGTAGGAAGGTCAGTCAGGATGGTGCTAAGGTCTGTTGATTTGAGGGCTTGCTGGAGCTGGCTGCCAAGGAGGAGGCAGCGCCTCGTGCTGCAGCATTTCCAGGCAGAGTAAGCAAAGCATTTGGAACACCTGGCCGGACCAGAGAGAGCAGGTGAGAGGTAGCTCCAGGGTCTTAGTCACAATCTCCCACCCTCTGATGAAGTGATGGGCTTTTGAGAGATTTGTGTCATATATGTTTATTTTACCATTCCTGTAATAAAATGCGCCTTTAAAAAGCTAAGAACACCTGGAAAGCAATGTGTTAAAAAATACCACTTTTTACTATTTCTCCATCTCCATATTACACTGAAGATTTTGGCCTCTGCTTTGGTTTTTCTCTGTACCCTTACTCTCTTTGGCATTTGTCAGTGATGCAAACAGTTAATACGTGAGTGCCAATGGAAGGATGTGTGGCTGAAATCCACCCAGGGGGTGCACTGGCAGAAAGGCTTGGCAATCTGTCTTTCAAATGACATAGCCTTGAAGGTCCTGCTCTGCAACACATACGTCACCATGAATGGAAATCAATTTGATGACAGCTGCTTTGTTTTGTTCAATATCTCTGTCCTTCTTTCCAAGTTTGAGGACTTCGAAATCCATGTCCATCTAACACTATTGTCCTCTCAGTTCCTCTGATGGCCTCCTGGAAAGGAGCTGAGTTGCCAATCCAAAGGCAAGTGGTTTGAATTCACCAGCTGCTCTATAGGAGAAAGATAGGCAATCTCATCCCGTGTGATTGCACTGCCTCTGAAAACCCACTGGGGGGTCAACTATGAGTCGGTTCTGATTCAACGCTGTATAACAACAACAACAAACCATGTGTTTGCCCTTGTTACTATAGACATTTCTAACAGCTCTGAATGTGAGGTTAAAGCCTACTTTCATAACATTTGGGAGATGGGTAACTATCAACTCTTGCCTCCACCGCTGCACTAGCCAGCAATCTGGTAATTCTCCCTGCTTCCACTATTACTACCAATGACCCGTTCCCCACCTCACAACTAGAAAGTGACCGGTTAAGGTTTAAACCAGATTGTGTCACTCCTCTGCATAAAGTACCCATCATTTCACATCACAATCAGAATGAACCAAATGAGCCAATCCTCCCCATGAGCCACGAGGCTCTGAAGGCTGAGTCTGCCGACTTCTCCCACTACCTTTTCCTCGCTGTCTCAAGTCCATGGCCTTTTTCTCCTCTTCCTGGAACATTCAGAAGTTCTCTCAAGCCACTGAATTGGCTGTTTTCCTACCTGAAGAGGTTCTTTTCTACTGCATCTTTTTTTCCTCAATTATATGTCAGTGGAAATAGCACTTCCTTGAACAGACTATTCTAATCAGTTAACTCGAGAGAGCTCTGGTGTGTAATCAGAGAGAGTTACACTGTGAACCCAAAGATTGTGTCTCCACAGCATGGACAAAAGATGGGCAGTCTCTTCCTGTGCCATTTACAGCCTTCGAAACCAGCGGTGTGTCAGCTGGCAATCCATTCTCACTCAATGGCAAACAGGGCTTTTTAAGGGAATCCGTTAAAGTCAATCAGGGAAAACTGGTCACACCTCTTGTTCTTATGTGTGTGCTTATACCTTGTATTTGGGTGATCTGGTGTGGTAAGATGCTGTGCTGTAATCCCAAAGGCGCACAGTTTGAAACCATCACCTGCTCTACAGAGAAGGTTGGAAAATCTTGTCCTAGGCAATTTACTGCCTCTGTAAAACTGATGAGGGCTACCTATGCGTCGGATCTGACTTCACAGCAAAACAGCAACAGTGAACGTAAGCTCCATCAGAACATCTTTTCATTATGATGAAAATATGTTCATTTTTTTCCCTTCTTTTTATGGCTTCACAGGAAGAATGGTTGCCAAACTGTACACATCATAAAAATGCATTTATGGTAACTGCCCAAGTAGAGAGATGGGCTACTGTTTCAAACGAGCAATTTTTGAAATCCAAGTAAAAGTGAATAATTAATTAGCATAATTTAAAAATCACTGACTTGCATTCATTGTAAAGAGAGAATAATTAAAACAGACACTGCTGTTTCACCACTCAGAGTTTCAAAGATTAATAATATTCAGTGTTGGAAAATACATTCACTGCTGCAGAAAGGAGTTAAAACTTTTTGATGGACACTGGCAGAAGTTGTCCATTTTTTTCAAGGTTACTTTCAGACAAATTCAGCAGTTGGTAAGCCCGCATTCCTTTGTTGCTACTGTTGTTATATACTGTCAAATACGAACTGACCCACAGCTGCCACTCCAGCAGGTGCTCAGAGGCTGTAGATCACACAGGAGGAGAATGCCCATATTCTTCCAGCAGAGCACTGAGCTGGTGGATTCGACCTGCCTGCCTTTGTTTGGACAGTACAGCTCCTTACCACCAGGCCAAAGAATTTAAATTTCAGTGTTGATCAAGGATTTATTGTCCTTCTAATGGAATTGAATAAAACTGCTTTGCATTTTTTAGAAGGCTCTCTGTCTCCTTTCCCATAAGATTAAATTACCAAAAAT